CACACACACACACACACACACACACACACACACACACACACTCAGGCGCGCCCTCAAGCGTATGCTCGCAAAAGCGCACATGCGTATACTCATGCATGCATGTACACCCACACCCCTCGACACACAGCAGGTCCGGCATATCTCATCAACTTGCAAGCCCCTCATTGGAACTTGTTGGTGCTATTTTGCACTGATATAGCTTGAACGCTTGTGATTACCACAAGGATGACATCGACTCTCTTTGCGGTGTTTTTTTTTTTGCTATTACATGAGCGGCCCCCAGCAGGGAAGTGACAGCAGAAGAAGAGCCGCAAGAAAGAGCGAGAACAAGAGACGCTGAAACACAACTCAAGAAAAGGACCAGCCCTACTGAGAACCCACGGAAGAAAGGACAAGGCCAGGCCAAGCTGCCAAAGGCACGCGGGAGAGCAGTTGCAAAAAGGAACAACACCCCAAGCTCCACCCAAAGCAAGCGGCAGAAGGAGGACTGTTCAGACTAAGAAGGACAAGCCCAGATAAAAGGCAAGGCCACTGGAAGCAAGAGAGGACAACAGAGACAAAAGAGACTCACACAGAGTTGAGTTAGCGCGGAGCTGAAGTCAGTGGCTTTTGCATTAAATCTATATTATTATTAAAAATTCTTGTTGTCGTCAAGCAGCCGTGCCAGAGAGGTTATTGGGTTAGACTTGAAATCTAATGACTTCGGTCGCGCAGGTTCGAATCCTGCCGGCTGCGCTTTTTGTATGTATTCCAGATTACACATACAAATCGTAATGGATGCCTCCTTGAGCTTGGGTGGTCCTGAGTGCGGTCTTCAAAACCGTAGGTGCCGAGAGGCACAGAGGTTCAATTCCTCCTGGGGGGCGGATTTTTGAGCGGAATCCGTCCCTCAGGGGCGTAGCTCCCTTAAGCTCCCTTGGCCAACACTAAAAGGATAAAGCTTTGAGCCACCCAGGCCACCTTAGCTCATAAGGAGGGTACCATCTGAAAGCTAATCTTGTGCTGATTCCGAAGTGGCCCTCAGGCATGCAGGCCCCCTGATGCAGGCCACCCACCTCTTCCCGTCCCGCGTGAACAAAAACATAAACAATTGTTAACAGGCCTCATTTCAATTTGCGTTAATGGATATTTCTGTTGATTCTAATGAGTGGTGTCGTGGTGGAGAGTGGTAGATGGATCACGGATGGTGGTAAGCTCCAGGCTCTTGCAGCAGCGCGGCGTAGGCAAGAGCACTTGGATAGCACTCGTGACGCGAGGCGTGCTCGGGTGCGGGAGAGGACCGCACAGGACTGTGAGCAGACGTGTCAAACGTCGTTTGGGACCAAGTTCAACAACATTCAGGAACGAAC